GCCCCGCCCTGGCCCCCTGCCCTGCCGGCCCCACCCTGGCCTACTGCCCTGCCGGCCCCGCACTGGCACCCTGGTTTACCTCTATCCACAGGGCCTCTTCCACTACACGGGCCTGGCCCACAATCCCTCCCCCTGATCCACCTCCGTTCCGCCTCCCTCCGGGATTGCTCTTGGTGGAGCATCTGCAATTGAGTCCTCGCTTCATCTCCCCTCACGCACCGTGACAAAAACATTCGATACAGTCACTCCTCAAGTTTGCTGGACAACAGCACGATATTATACATAACACTCTAAAATCACTATGCACCAGAGAAATATCAACTAAATCACTGAATCATACATACTTTCTATTATTTGATTAGTTTTTTTGTTTTTTACTTTGTACGATATGATACACTAGGCCTGGGGAATTACTATTAATTATTTCAATATAATTTTTTTTCTCTGATAGCATATCAGTGTTAATTTTGTGAGACAGCATGGATAAACCACAACAGGTGAACATGGTGACTGTGTGGATGCTAGTGCTGGATTAACAATATTGATTTATCGTTTTTTTAATTGATACTGATATAGATTCTTAAATCTCAAGATCAGTCTTTTCATATACTCTATTTTGGCCAGTCATTTAGACTGGCATGAGCCAATAGGACTTCAGGAAAGGTTGGAAGGAGTTCCCATAATGGAGGAATGTCTCCGTGATGTCTCATGAAAGCTCGAGAGGGAACGCCTTTGCTCTGATTCATTTCCACTCAAGTCGAGGCTAGGGTGTGCTGTGTGATACAGCATCGTCTGCGATAATGTGGTAAGTGTTGTTGTAATGATGTGCGATCTGACATTATCAAGTAGGCTATATCACCAGATCACACACAGAGTGCATGCACGTTGATTTATTAGTCTATTAAAACTCAAAATTCCAGGCAGTCTAAATTGTAGACGGCAAAAATGCTACTGTATGCTTTTTATATTTATATAATTTAATATAGTTAACAATCTATATCACACAAAGAGTACCGTTTTTCTGCAGATTTCAGCATGAACACATTTAATAATCATTTTATACAAATTCAATAACGCAATAAGGATTTCAGCATGAGCACATTTAATAATCATTTTATACAAATTCAATAACGCAATAAGTGACTTACATTTTAGACATAATATTGCCTGTTTTTGCTAAATTTTGCTAACGAAAATAGTTCCTAGCAAAGATCACGGCACTGTTTTGCGTCTCTGAGCAATGGTGTTTACTTATTGAATGAATCAGCCATTTGAATTAATCGGTTTAATCTCAATGACTCACTCATTAACAGTC